CCGCTGGCCCCATGGGGGTTGGGGGGAGCCTTGCAAGGGTCCTAGAAGGCTCACTCGGACCCTTGCGAGGCTCCCCCCACAGAGCTAGTGGGGGCGAAATCGCCAGCTTCTCTCCATAAGATGCACAGACTTCCCCCCACTTTTTTGGGGGGGGGGGCATCTCATGGAGCAAAAAATACGGTAATTGTTCTTCACTTGGGGAAATATGAAACTCTCCCTCCCTTCCTCTCTCCCTCAAAAAAAAATCTAATTCCCATATTCTGTGTTGATGCAAAGTAATCTCTTTGTGACTTTCTCTTGTCAGTTCCACATTGGGAATATTTGTTCTGAACAAACCTTACCAGACAAAAGGTTTGACAGCTGACAGTCTGTGTGATGAGACAAATATATAGCTGTCACTGTCTAGAGGCCATGTAAGAAATAGTCTCCATGTGACACTGATAAAGTAAATTAATCTTACAGATTTGCCATGATAAAATTGACTGGGAACTGGGTTTTGGGAAGAGCCTCTAGAAAAAGAACACCTCTCTGGGTGATCTTCCAGGTAAAGAGGAATCCTGTCTGGGTGATGAATCAGCCCATTACATTGCCAGTGCTAATACACTCTCAGACAAAAACAGAAGGTGAAGTGTTTCTGAGGGATGGATGGAATCTGTATACCCACTGGTATTCCTAAATCCAGAATAGATTGCCTCTTGGACTGAGCATGGACAGAGTTCCTACTCCAGTCCTCTGAAGATGCTGGCCACAGAGACTGGCAAAACGTCAGGAAGAACAACCTTCAGAACATGGCCAAAGAGCCCGAAAAACTCACAACAACCATCAGATCCAGGCCATGAAAGCCCTTAAGAATACAAAACGAGTTATGTTAATGCTAGGAGTCTGTCTTAAATTGTTAATCTGTTCTGAATGATGGAGGGGGTTCTGAGCATCTTGTGGGAGGATCTGATCCTGGGTATATTTCCCCTTTGTAGTTCTGTAGCTGGCATTAAAGAAACTTCATTCTTACTTGGCCAGCCCTCTTACCTAACTCTTCAATTCCTGTGGAATGAGCACAGCTGAAGTGACATTTAAATTCAAAGAGAGTGTTTCCCCCTTTTTCAGGGCAAAATAATGTAGGAGGATGAGGCTCCAGTATAAACATTGTCAAGGTAAGGCTTCTTCCCCAGCCCTTGTTGTTTAGTCGTTAAGTTGTGTCCGATTCTTCGTGACCCCATGGACCAGAGCCTCCCGGAGTTTGGTCAAATTCATGTTGGTAGCTTCGATGACACTGTCCATCCATCTCGTCCTCTGTCGTCCCCTTCTCCTCTTGCCTTCACACTTTTCCAAAATCAGGGTTTTTTCCAGGGAGTCTTCTCTTCTCATGAGATGACCAAAGTATTAGAGCCTCAGCTTCAGGATCTGTCCTTCCAGTGAGCACTCAGGATTGATTTCCTTCAGAATTGATACGTTTGATTGCCTTGCAGTCCAGGGGACTCTCAAGAGTCTCCTCCAGCAGCACAACTCAAAAGCATCAATTCTTCGGCATTCAGCCTTCTTTATGGTCCAGCTCTCATTTCCATACATCGCTACTGGAAAAACCATAGCTTTGACTATGCAGACCCTAGGATGTGGTATTGAGTTCATCTTCTTCTCTTCTGCTGTTCTTCACTCACATGTTTAATGTTTTTGTGCCAGATGCATTTTCCTTTACTGCTGATAGCATCTAGTAAGCCAGGAGTGTCAATGCCACAGCAGACAGGTCTCGTAAAGCAGTATAACACTGGACTCTAATATTAACTGTAGCTTTGTGTTTGTGTATTTATCATCACTAAAACTTTACAGCATTGGTTCCCAACCTTGGGCCTCCAGATGTTCTTGGACTTCAACTCCCAGAAATCCTGGCCAGCAGAGGTGGTGGTGAAGGCTTCTGGGAGGTGTAGTCTATTGTGTATTTATCATTACTAAAACTTTACAGGATTCTAAAAAGCTGC